TCTCTCTCTCTCTCTTTCTATATATATATTGTTCGAGAGAATGGAATGAATTTATGTAAGTGGGCCACGTACGAAGATAGATTAAAGTTTAAATAATCGCGTTACCTCGGGGCTGTTCAGAGCCCGTGAAATTGTCGCGAGAACTGCTGCAGGGAGATAACGCTCGAGTTATTAAATCGGTTTCCCTTTCAGGTTTGTTAATGCTGGTGGGAATGGTGATGTACATATCTGTATTCAAAGCCGAAGTTGGTAGCAAACTTAGACCAAGGTCATCGTTTCAGGTCAGTCGAATGTAGCATCCAACACTCATTGATAACCTTGCCGCGTCCTTGTTTGCTTCAGAAGAAAAGATCAATCGATATCCTTTCGATATTTTTTTTTTTTTTTTTTATTTAGCAGCAAATACACGAAATCGGTTGGAGAAAAAAATACTTGCACCTTAGGAAAGTTTGTAAAGAGAAGAAAAGAAAGTGAAATTTCGCGTTAGAAAGACTCGAATATGTATAAAAATCTGCGACGAGTTTAAATTTTCGTCGAGATTATGTACACCGTATAGCCGTGCAATATGTATCACGTGCGAAAAATGACGACGAGATCCTCGGTTTCATATTTCCCTCCCTCGGTAACCTTAGATTACTTCTTATCTGTGTCATTGCCCGTGTGAATGAATATCTTGGCCGCAATCTTGCGATTTCAGGGACCACCCTTCACCTACAGGTACGGATTCTCATTTCTGCTGTACGTGAGCGGCTTCATCACGACCGAGGTCGCCGGCACTTACGCCATTTTCTTGTACATCTCCTGGCATCAGAAGGAACTGGTACGGAGAGACTCCAGGCGAAAAAATTACGGGGTTGGTAGTATCAGCTTCTTTTCTTACGACTTTCGGGCCGCGCGCCGAATGAACATTTGCTAATAAAACTTCTCATCAAAGCGACAGTCGAAGTCGTTCGTCTTCGTTTGGCAGAATAAGACAGAGAGAGAGAGAGAGAGAGGACAAAAGCATTTCGCTTTCTGCCGAACGGGATTTGCACTTCCGCGTAACAATACTCGAAAATTCTGGCAAGTTTTCGTCACTTGACCTCGGCAAGCTTTGCGCTTCTTTATTTTGACAAATCGCAATCGCAAATTTTCTCTCTCTCTCCTTCTCTCTCTTGGTTTACGCGTTTATACTTGAAATTCTTGAAAGTTTCAAAGTGTATAAGTTCTTCCTGTGAAATATTCAGCTAGCGTCTCGTGATTTCGACGATGAAATAAAACTCCCGCGCAAATATAAACTTCCGACCCGGCTGAGTTGCACCCTATACACACTCTCGGCCGAGTCGAGTCTCTCGAACAAACTGGCTGGAAATTTGAGCGTAAAGTTTCCGCCTTTGAAAATCCGTGTCCAGGCTATCTCTGAAATTCAAATGATTTTCTTCCTTCAATGACCAATGACCGTTCGAACGTCGACGATTGATCGAAAGATAATCAATTGTTGCCGAAAGCAAAGAGACGTTCCGTTCAATACAAATTACTCGTTTGACAACTATTATAATAGCGCGCCAAGTGTTCCGCATAAAGCCCCATCTGCACGCAATTTAATAAGTGCTCTCCACCAAGGCAGCCAGCTCGCACGAATTACTTCGGAACGAGTTTAATTTAAATTTTAGCGAACGTTGTATTACTTTGAAACAATATTATGAGTGGCAACAACGGCAGGTACATTAACACGATTACGCGAACAACGTCAAACGCGAACGTTGAACGAAACGAATCGAGGAGGTGAAAGAAAAGGACAATTTCTCCTCCCTCTTCCTCGTCAAGGACTCTACGATGAAATCTGCCGCCCGTTAGAATGCATCCCGACACGGCGAATTTAGGCGACTTATTCTAACTGCGAATTGCGATCCGGCAGGCTAGAAGTTAAATTACATTTAACTAGTAAATAGATACCGAAATGAAAACGAAGCGGAACACGAGGCAGAATGGCAAGTGTTGGCTCACTCGGCCTGCGAGTACTTGAGATCTCATTCGCGCGATGCCATCGTGCTCCAGCGAAACAAGTGACGCTCTTCAATTCTCGCGTCCTCCGGGTAGTTTTCATCGCGCTCGCGGCGGAAGATTAAAAGCATCGGTTCTCTCTCTCTCTCTCTCTCTCTCTCTTTTTATAATGGCAAGCTTTGGAATTTTCCCGCGCGAAGACACTTGACAGAGGGAAACTGACACTGTCGGTGGGGACTGGCGGTTCTCAGCTGACGCGAGCTCTGCAAATTGAATCGGGAACAGTGGCAAATGGCTAAGAAAGACGAACCGAGCCCCGCGTTGGTCACTGTGCCCCGATGAAAGAAAATTTCATCCTCTCGACGTCGTATCAATATGTAATTGTAGTTAAAACTACATTAAGAAGATTAGACACGAGACACTCGCTTGCTACAACGTACCTGTTGCGATCTCACCTGGTGTCTAGTAGAGAGTCTAGTAAATAGATAGCACAAGCTCGTGGCTAATTCAAACCTATAGTTCAACAGACCGAGATGTGCATGCTCTCGACAGTCATTTCGAAGATTAGAACACTTTAAGCAATTTTAATCCGGCTGGAGTTTCCTCGCTGGTGCCCGACGTATCAAAAGGTAAACGTATTTCACTCGAAACGAGGAGGAAACGCTCTCTCCAAATTCACCCGGTTGAATCGAGAATTCGTTCGTTTTCATCCGCCGAATCTTTCGATTGGGAACTGGATGAACGGACGCGCGACACGACAGGGGAATGGAAAGCATCGTGAAAAATAATAAAATAATGAACACCGGGGAGCATGGTAAACGCGGGCAGTGCGTCGGAAGAGCAGTGAGAGGGAGCACAATAGAGAAGGGAAAAGAACAATTCGCAACGTGCAGCGATCCATGTAGCCTCTGTTAACGTCGAACTTGATTCATCCCCTCTGTGTCAGTGGAAGTGCAATGACTTCTGTGTAGTAAAACCGGTGTAAGTAGAATAGGTCAGTTATATACCGACCATCAACCTTGTCCCTCCATCCTCTGCATACATGTGTCCATGTTTCTCCTTTCAAATTTATGTACAAAACCAGGTTCATCCCATTTACTCGCTTTATTCTCTTTAGAAAAACTTTATCTGTACTTTTGAGAAAAACCGCGAGAAAAGAGTAAGGAAAATTTTAATCGAAACTGGCATTGGGATATTCGTTTTCTAAACCAGGCGCGAGACGCAATTACGCAGATTACGCAGATTTGCTTCTATTATATGCATAACATATTGATTTGTTTTCTAGAATATTTACCTAATATTGTCGTTTCTATTCAAAGATAATAAGCGATGGTCGTCTTGTCTCGCGCGACAAGCAGAGATTCGTCCTCCTTTCATAACGTTTCTTTTCCAGGGCGTGTATCACTTGGACAATCACCACGTGCATCATGCAAATCACGCCACTATAGGCCACAGCGGTTTCCTTTGCGAGAGGCATCAGAAGAGATACTTCTTCGGCAGGGATTCGGTGGATCACGTCGACTTCGACGAGTTCTTACCGCCGCCGCCAAATTTAGACTATCACGATTATTCCAGACAATTCCCAAGGGACCTTACCACGCAAACGGTAAACAGTGAACGCTTTCCTTCGAAAAAGCAGTATGCAACTCCGCTCTTAGGGAACATAAGTCAGAAATTATTAATAAATACAATGTTCACGATATAAAATATACTTTGTACGCTATACGCTAAAAATCTT